ACTTGTATGGGTGAGCACTTGCTTACTGCAGGGATAGACGAACCTCGCTTGGTGACTCGCTAGTGCCACTTCTCTTGACATTGAAGGCATTTCTACTTTTTCTGTCCAAAGACTTACCTGGCATGATCTGTTCTACCTCGTATAAGCTAATGTATTCATGCACAGGGTGGTAAAGCTGCAAGAAATACTGGTTAAGGTGTACTTTCCAAATGGTGAAATACTCTTACAGACTTCTGAAGCTGTTATAGAAAGAAGGTAGTAACTGGTGGAAAATAAGAATCTTAAAATCCTTCAGACTTACTTACTTGGGTCTGATTGGATTTATTTTTTATTGCATTCAGTCAATTGTTTAACATTATTATACTCTTTATGTTATTATAATCTCCAAAGCAGACTGTATATACGTATAATGTTAGTACTGCTTGTGATCCATTCCAGTAATATTTTAATCAGAGGTTCTTGAAACAGCAATTATTATCTTTAAGAGGAAATCATGGCAGAAATCTTGATTGAATTAACATGTGAAAACTGTAATGGAAACTGTAATGGAGAATGTTAACCCTGTAGGATGCTTGCAGAATTTTCCTTTGCTATTTTATTACATTTGAGCAGATAAATGCATTATACTTGCCATGGATAGAGGGGGAACTGATGACTGTATAACACAGCTAATAGTTTAGTTATGGTGAGAGAAAACTGTTTCTGGTAGTGAAATTACTTAGAGGTATAATGCTTCAGGAAGGTGGTCCTGCAAAACATACTCTCTCAAAAAGTCTACTAGTCTGAATCTCACAGCAATATCTGAAGGATATCTTATGTAATTTTCTTCAAAACTTAGCCTAGAGAAGTTTTTTGGAGGTCTCACTTCATATTCCAAGGGACAGGCATTTATATTATAACCTCTGTCAGTGCAGGGCTCACAGATTTCCTCAGGAGCAGTGAGCTGGAGAGTGGGGTAGACGTGCTTTATTCCGCTCATACATACAAAGGTTTTTTATCTTTATCTTAAAGGAGAAGCCATGTGGACAGAGGGACATCTCATTACCTTCTGCAAGGAAAACCAGCTTGCCTGTGTCCTGGGCAGTGGAAAGAGTTTTGGCTTCCCCTGTGTTGAGGCACTTAGTGAACAGAGACAGAGCATTGCCTCTGTTTTTGTGAAATTCAGGGCTGGAAGTTTACCTGGGACTTATGCAAATTGCTGGATAGTGTGGTGAAGGGAAAAGTGTTTCCCCCTTTCCTGCTGTTGCCACCCATGTGGCCCCCAGGCAGTTTGCTTTGCAGTCAGCAGTAACTGGCACATCTGCAGAGAATCCGTAGATGGTTTCCATGGCAGAAGCTAAGCTCTGAGATGCTCACAGAGGTCCTTTCAGAGCAGGTTTGAGAAAGCTGACATGGGACCTTGCTCTTCTGGGCTGTCGGTCTGGCTTGGATGCACGCAGGAGCACTAGGGAGGTACAAAGCAGGGTGTGGCTCATATCGTAGTTGAAAGTTCAATTAAATTTACCGTAAATGTAATGGGGTATGTGGGAATGTTGGATAGACAGCCATATGTAAGCAGCTTAGCAGATCCTGAGTTATTTTTTTGGTTATTCTTTTTATCATAGCTGTTCTCAGAGCTTTGTGCTGTCATTAGTACTATTCACCTCAGTAACTTTCATTCAGGTTTCCTCTTTTGTCTGCAGTAAACACTTGGTGGGGGTATCAGGTCTGGGGTGGCCTGAGATAGAGTTACATCAAACTGCGGTATGATAAAGCTAATTTCTGAAATACAAACAAAGCCTTGATGATCATGGCTTAGGAGTGCTAGCAAACAGAGGGAATGGCCTGTCCTTCCTGGCTGCCAGCGGAGCCAGCTGCTGCCCAGTGGGTGCATGTAGATCAGGGACTTCAGCCCGCCTTCAGAGGTGTCAGAGTGGTGGCTTTTCCAGCCACCACATGCAGATAGCATGTAGCTGTCCTGGTGCCACAGGTGCTCTGTTGCCTGCACCATAACTGTCTATGGCCGGCAGCAGGAGGCTCTGCGCAAGCAGCATGCGAGGCTTCCAAAACTCCTGTGGGATTTACACAGTGTTAACTTGGGAGATTTATTACTCCCTGAGGATTCATAAGCAGGATTGATGAATTTGTTGCAATTTGCATTTTTGCCATGGTCATAATATAAGGTGGGAGGATTGAAAGGTTCAAATAAACACCTATATTAAATTTGTAGGTCATATGGCAACAACAGTCCTATCAGTCACTCACTACAACATATTTTTATTGAGCACTTTCCACAAAATCAAGAACTCTGTGTCCTATATGAAGTAGTAGATAAGAAAGCTGCTACAAATAGTAGTATGTTCTTTATCAACACTGACTGCTTTTCTTTACCCACCGTAGTCATTAGAAGGTTTTCAACTTTAAAAAAAAGAAAAAAGTCACGTATATATGTATCTGACCAGTGAAGTGCGCTGTAAATCTTCAGAAGGTTAACCTGGAAGCTGTGTATTTAGCCTTTGCAACAGAAATTGTTTAAATACCATGTTGACCCCACACAAAATTTACGTTCTTCTAGTTAGTGTTCTATTTTGTTTAAAGTCACTAAACACTAAATCCATGTTAACAGGACAGCACAGAACCATGTGCTGTAAAACATATATTCAGACAGATCCTGAGCAAACAAATCTGCTTGTTTTTTTTATTTTTATTTTTTATCACTGGTTCCTATTTTTACAAATCCCTGTGCTTGGAAATGATTTGCACTGTGTCTTATTTCAGAACTTACTTCTTAACATCACTGAAATCCGAAGAGGAAGGAACAAAAAATGCATTTTAAAACAAATTGTGAAGGAAGATGAATAAGTTGCAACAATTAAGCCTCTTCAATGAGGTTCTGATATTGAATTTTTTTTTTTAACATAATCTTTTCATCAAGTCATATCGGACAAATCTGTCATGCATAACTGAGTTTAAGTCTTTGTAAGTATTTCAAGATTTGCAGTGTAACTGTGATTTTTGAGTTTCAAAAGGGGTTATTTCTCCAACAACAGAATTTATTTTATTTGCAATAGTCAATAGAATTAAAAAAAAAAGAAAAATTTTTAATTAAACATATTAGCTGATCTTAGATTTGAAAATATAGCAAGATTTTTTTAATTTCTGAAGAGGTTACAATTCCTCAGATTTTTAGGTGACCATCAAGAATATATCCAATTGGGACCCCTCCCCCCCCACAACCTATTGAATAATATTTGTACTTCAGGCATTTAAAATATATTAGGATATTCATATTTCTCATATTTCCTTGAGGAAAAAAATTAGTCCTGCTCCCTTCAGAATTTGACCATCATTGAGACAAACAGGTCAGCAATTTTTTCCACTTTTTTTGTGTGTAAAACAGAGTACCTGAAATTAATTGTTAGGAATCAAAATAGAAAATTAACAGGTTTAGAGAGGTAAAGAGTATCAAACAGGAGTAAATGACAGAAGCTGTTTGTATTATTTTTAATATTAAAGACCTGAGGAACACGTCCTCTGGATTTCAGAAAATAAGTTGACCTCTTTCTTCAATGTTCATACAGCAGCAACTGAAAGGATCACATAAATCTGCCAAGTGAAATGTAGTTATTTTGTACACATTTAAAACAGATAAAGGTCTATTTTCCTCTTTACACCTGATGCCACAGAAGTGCATCTGCTCATCCAAGGAGAGAGCAGTGCGGAGGGCTGACCAAAGACAGAGAAGGAACAAAACTTCCAGTATCCGTCCTCCACAAAACATGTGTCAGGGGGTTTAGTCTTTAGATGTGTTATCATGAATCTTATCAGTCTGATCCCAATGTGTATTCCCAAGTCAGTTGTTGTGTTTGTGGAAACACCTAGTGCAAAGAAAAACTCAATACAATGAAATGCGGAGGAAGCATGTGTTTGCACGCTCTGTGTCCAGCTCTGGTAGTAGTTGCTTGGCAATGATTGCTGACATGACGATCCTGTTTTTCTTCTGAATAAATTTGATGAGACTTTAGAGAAAGTCCATTATTTCTGGGTTGCCAGAAACATATCTAAGGAAAAGGCTGCTCAGAGTCTGCTCTGGGTACTGAATAGAGGCAGCTGAGGTCTTTCTTTGAGTATCCATCTTGGAAATACTGGTGGGTACGGTACCTACTACTAGTTGGTGCCTGGTAAACATGTGAATACCATTAGGACTTAAGCTCTTCAGTGACAGAGTGCTTTTGAAATGATGACTTAAGTTCCAAAGTCATTGAATTGCCTTTGAAAATATTTTCTTTCTCTGACATTTGTTGAAAAATTTATGGTACTCGCTGCTACCCTTGACTCACGGCTACCCCTGGCTGCAAGTGTTTACATGACTGGGCCCTGTGTTGTCCAGTATTCCTTAGGCACTAATACCTTTTGGGAAATATCTGTAAAGAAAGTATTTTTTTTGAATACTAAAGGTCCTCTGTTCTCATGGGGACCCATGCACCTCAGAGGCACATCTTGGGACTGAGACAAGATAAACTGCCGGGTTGTAAAAGGGTAGGAAATCGCACAGGAAGCTTAACCACTGGACATTTGTATTGTGTTCTTGAAAAGACCAAACCTGTACACTGTAGTGTATTTCAGTAGCTCTTAAATAACATCTGTGGTGCCGTATAGCGTTACTCGTGTGGGTTAGTTGTGTCTGCTCTATATATTTGTGTCTGAAATTTTGGGGAGCTTTCATAAACAAACAGGCCACTTAGTGTAAGATAGCAGTAATACTACTTGCAACTGAGATCAACACAATTATTTTTCTTTCAAATAAGTCATGCTTTCACAAAGAAAACTGTGAAGTAGAATTTCAAGTACTATTCACAAATTTGGTTTCTTATTTTATCTTAAGTAGCGCTATTAATAATGAATATTGGCTTAACCCTGATTCAAATTCTTTGTGTTCTAGTTTTTGCAACATGTTTAATTTATGTTTTGTTTTTTCTCTCTCTTTCTCTCTCTCCTTATCTCTTTCCCCTTTTCAACAGTCCTGGTACCTGGGCTAGCTTGGTTCCTTTTCAAGTATCAAATAGGACACCGATCCTGCCGACGAATGTCCCAAATTATGGTTTGAACATAATTGGAGAACCTTTCCTTCAAGCAGAAACAAGCAACTGAGGGAAAAAAAAAAAAATAAAATAAAAGCAAAATTAAAAAAGAAAAAAAGAAAGGAAGACAGGACAAGAAAAGAAGCTGAAGAAAGAAGAAAAAATAGACCAGCAATTGCAGCTCTTACAATCACTAATTCCCTTATGGTTGAAACTGAAATGACATAAAAGGGTCGATGATATTTCACTGATGGGTAGAATGCAGCCCCTGCTAAGTAGCCTTTGTTGTATGAAGTCCACTGGGAAATAGATGTTCTGTCTCTGACAATATATTTTAACTGACTTTCTAGATGCCTTAATATTTGCATGATAAGCTAGTTTTATTGGTTTAGTATTCTTGTTGTTTACGCATGGGATCACTATTCCTGGTTATCTCACAAAACAAAGGCTAGGCAGCAGCAAGAGAGCTGCAGGAGGACAAGGGCCGTGAGCCAGCCGTTTTTCTCAACACTCTGATTTCTAAATGTAAAGTTCTGTAGCCTTTAGTTATCAGTATGGATTTATTAAACTTTGGCCCTTAATTCAGCCTTTTCTAGTGTGTTATGCAGTTTGAAGTTTTCAATCAGTATGAACACACAGGCTCTATGGAAGAAATGCCTCTACGTAGGTAAAAGTGTTATCTCCTCATGCAACAGTAAAAAAGGAAAAAAGTGAACGTTTTCCCCACTAAAGAAACACTTACAGAGGCAAGTGCAATTTAAAAATCATATCTAAGGGGTCATCACTATAAGTCCTTCAGCCCTTGGACTCTAAATTGAGGGGATTAAAAATAGAAATAAAAATTACTTTGAACAAACTTATTTTTCCCCTCAGTTTTTGAGGGCATTAAAAGGCATTAAATCAAGACAAATCATGTCCTTGAGAAAAAGAAATCAATGAAAACACAGCACTTATGTTGGTTTAGCTGCTGCCTCCACAGAGGGGTAGGATTTATTTATTTAAAGTTACTGGTTGCATCAAGAACCCATAGGGTTTACATGTTTCTGTAAAATCTGCATCACAGAGACAAAGAGATAGGCAAATCCATGTCACAAGGGCAAAGCTTACCGTTTACAAACTGGTAATACCAGGATGGGGATATGTTATATTTAAATAATGCACTCAATGTAAGTCTAATTACAGGGTGCTGAAAACTTGCATGGTGCTTTCAGAAGTTAGCCTTGTTCAACAATTTTCACATATTGACAGATATATAATGTGCATGGGCAGACATTTTGCCTCTATGTCTCTTTAAAAAAATCATTAAAATACTCTTTCCAGTAATCCTAATTTGCACGAAGATATAATGTCCACATTACGTGCCTTGCCTTGAAATCTAAAAAATGGAAAAAAACAAAAAAAGAAAAAAAACACAAAAAAATTGACATCACTACACTTGTTTTGCTGCATTTATTATAATTTTAAATCTTTACCATTTTTATAACAAAATATTTTGTACTCCAGATGGGAAAAAAGTGTGACATCATGGATTTTTTAGACAGTTATACCTTTATCTCACATTTATAAAGCATATCATGGCTGTGTATAGTTGCCGCTTAAAAATTGTAATCGACCAGCAATATTTTCAGTATTTTGGTGTTTTTTCTATTAACCTTTCATGTTTTTCATCTTCCAATTAATATTGGGGGGAGGGGATACAAATTTATACGAATTATGCAATACCAAGTTTTGCCTATGTAGGTAGTGCTTTTAGCTGTATTGGTTATTATAGGTAAGTACACAGATTTAAAAGAAAAAAAAAAAAGAATAATGTATGCTTTTTTTGTTTGTTTTAATTGACCAAAGTGGGTACTGCTATTTTTGCAGTGTGATGAGGTCCTTTTCTGTACTGAGAGGTGGACAGGGGATTTTTTTTTATACATACATATATATATATTCTGGGGTGGGTGGGGAGGATTTTTAACACTTTACAGTGTAGCTGTGAAGCAGTGCACCCTTAGCCAGGCAAGGGCTGCAAAGCGACTGTTCTGCCTACTGTGACAAACCTTCAAATCGGTTCCTTCTTTTTAACTTCCCACCTGGGGTGCAAGCAGAAATCATTTCTGGATTTAAAAAATAAATAATGAATTCTGTTGGAGGCAGACTTGACTTGAGGAAATTGTTTTACTTTAAGGGTTTTTTTCTTGAGAAAGAGAGAGAGAGACAGACAGACAGAAAGAGAAAGAGGTCAAGACCCACAAAGAGATGAAGCCTTTTCCATTCTGGCAAAGATACTGCATCCTAAAGTGTTCACGTTAGAAAATGTTTTTGGCTCAGAATGACAAAGACGCTTGCTTTGTCTGGGAAATGCATGTGCAGGGCCAAAATCTTTGCTGGCATAATTCCACTGAGTCCAGTTGACTCTGGAGTTGCTCCTGCAGAGAATTTGCCTCTCTTAGTCTGCTTGACTGGTAAATATTCCTTTTTTTTTCTCTATGTCAAAACATTTTTTTTTTTCCCCAAGTTTGTTAACTCACAGCATCTGAATTACAATTTTCATCCTGCCCAGGCTGTGTCAGAGGTTTGCAGTGTCATCTCATACAGCAGGTCAGATGGAAAGATCTGGGCTGTAGTGGGGAAGGAGTTTCTTAATGAACTGAATTAAACTATGATGTAAATAAAAGTGTATTTCCAGTAAAATCACATTTTGCAGATCAGTAGTGAGCCTGTAGCTGGAGACCTTTTATGTGCTAGGGATCTTTGTGATGTGTGGCTCAATGCAGCATGAATTTTTCTTAAAAGCACATCCTTTTATTTGGCCACAAGCAGAGGAGAGTATAGACTTGTGGATATGGGATACCCTGGTGAGAAAATTCATCCCTTTGCCATTGCGTCTGCTTTTTGGAGGTTTTCCTACCCTGGAGCAGCCCCAGAGGTGCAGCTCCAGCAGCAGTCGCCCCACTGAGCGCTGGGCAGTGGCACACCAAAATCAGTTCCTTCTGGCTCTGGCCAGCGCGCAGCGGCTAATGAGCCCTGGTTGAGGTGGTGCATCTCTGTGTCTCCAGCAGGAGATATGTGTGTAGGCAGGGCCTGAATGGTTACAGAGACAGGAGCTGTAGAAAAGCAAATCCTTGAGATTTACCCATAGCTAAACTGAAAAAAAGAAAACCCCACATAAAAAGATAAGACACCAACTGAAAATGAAAATCAACTTTATGTTGCTCTTTTTCTGAGCCCTGTGGTGAATTCATTCACTAAGCACATGGCTATTGAGATTACCAAAATGCACTAGACCTACCCAGAGTGCACCTCAGGCTCTGGCCTGGTAAAACAAAGTACATATTGTCCTTTCTGCATGTGTCTGATACTGAGTTGTTCATGAGTAGAGGGGTGTGCTGGGACACTGTCCTTGATTAGTGCTGTTAGCATAAGCTTTTAGTAGCACACCGGGATGAAACTGAAACAAGTTCAGGCTTCAAAGTGCAATGGTCAAAATGGTGATTGCCCCTGTAGAAAGATGGATGCCCTTAACAGAGCTTTTTTGTTACCTCTGACCTCCTGTATGAAAAAAATTGAGCTTACAGATGCAACATTTTAAAAAGCAAAAACACCTTCCTTCCATGTGAATGAATTGGGTTGTTAAGCAACTGTGGGTTTTTTTTCTACTTGCCTCTCTAATCAAAAAGCCTGTTTGGAAGAAAATGAACTTTTCATTTACTGTAGGTTTGGGTTTGGGCTGTGGTTTGGTTTTGTTTGTTTTTGTTTTTGTTTTTTTTTTTAAGCTCAGCAGTCAAAAGATTAAGATAAGATTGAGAACTCAAATCCAGTCTCTGGCCTCCTCCTTCACCAGGAAGTGTATTCTGACTAAATCGAGCCACCCCGTTCTATGTGCACTGTTCTGCCTTTATTAAGTTGCTTTGCAGCCCTGGCCTCATGGCTGTGCCACTGAAGTGTGTTTCCCCTGGAGTGACATGAACGTTTGAGGCTTGACTAAGGAAAAAAAAGGCAGTGAAGGAGACTGTACATAAAGACATGGCAAAAATATTAATTATAGCAATATAATTGTGGGGTGATGTTCAGGTGGGCAGCTCCATTGAAAATATGTGAATGAATTTGTGAAGCTGCAAGTAGCGAGAAGAAAGGAGGATCTTCTGAATGAACCGCCTACCTTGTAGACAGTAATTTGTACACTGTATAGTTTTGTTAAGAATTTTTTTTTAATTAAAATACCCTTGTTTGTAAAGCTAACTTTTTAACAATTCTAATGGAAATGCATGTCATTTCCATTTTTAAAGTAAACAAGAATATTCCTTGTTTGGAAACTGGACTTGGGTTAAAACTCTCCAGTTTCGTAATTTATGTATTAAAAAAAAAATCTGTCCATGTTAGGAGTTATTTCGCAGATTCCTGTGCTTGAAAAGCATAGGTTACTAATCCTTTAAAAATGTAAATGGAGAAAAGTTATATTTTATGAAGGTTATTTTGTTGTATTTAGTATTGGAAAGTTGGTTTTCAGAGCATTTCAAAATGTTGGAAGCACCACTGTCTTTTTATTAGTATATATGGCCTTTAGCAAAAGTTTTTGTGATTGTTACATGATGGTATTTAAGATTAGGTTCACAGAGCAATTCAGGATAGGCAGAGAACTAAAACAGTACTTATATCTCACATAGCTGTGTCCTCAGGGAGCAGAATTTTGGATTTGCAACTTGTAGCTTCATAAGGACTTAATGAAAGAGATTGCACAAGGACATATGCAGCTGTGACACCGGAGTGTGTTCTGTACCTAAATCTAAATTATATTTACTGTGTGAGATTATGAAGGCTGCAGAAAGTTATCCCGTATTCAGTGTACAGTATTCACTTCTAATGAAACAACACTCTAACGTTGCTGGCAGTAAGGCCCCAAGCATGACATCCAATATAGTTTACATGATCCTGTCAAGGTCTTTTGTTAACATTAACCAGCTGCATGCTCCTGGACTTTTTTATTGGGTTTCTATAGAAAACTGAAAAAAAAAAAGCAAGAGTAAAATCATATGCAGGCTAATCAAGTTAAACAGGAAAAGCTCAAAGTTGAATGTTCTACTC